ACATTCAAACCCTCTTCTCTTCACTTCATTAATTTTGTTCCAGCAGATCTAATGTGCAATCTTTTCCATTTATGTCAGCTGTGTCTGTGTCACAGTGCACGTCTGAAGGAGTTATGAATGTGACTAATGTCCCTTTGGGTGTGCGAATGTTGGCGCTAGTGGAATTTAGTTGTGAGGTTATGTGATGTGTGTCAAAAGTTCAAGTTCCCTTCTCGTAGTTTGTTGGGTGCCCCACACTCGATTCAGTTTGCCGCGCCCGGAGACCTAGTGACGGTGAACGATTATGTACCTTTACTCCAGGGGCATAGTAGGGTTTCCTGTGATCGATAGTTTTCCTGAGGATGCTCATCTCTACCCACTTCGATGTGCGCAAGCCAAGAGTTCTGCCCTTTGTATTGTGACCGACTGCCTCTATCCTAATATTTGTACCCTCTGCAATCCTGAGACGCTTGTCTGCTGGGATACAGCCAACCGCTTGCCGAAGGGGCGTTCTGAGATGCCCCAACCTTAACAACGTCCTGTGAATATGATTGTCGATACGAAGCACCCTATACATCATGTAGGTTACACAAGCTGCCAACAGAAATCTGGATTACAGAAAAGGGAAAGAGAGCGAAGATGAGACGGATGGAATTTCTTGGAAGACCACATGTGTTTACAATTTCAAACACCTGCAGTCCACTTTTTTCTTAGAAATGCGTGAAATGCAGGGAATGGGCGATTTTGGGGTGGTTTAGGGGTATTAGCAGATCAAATTACCGCGTGGCTTGGGTTGGTCAAATAAATAGGATTTAACATGTGTGTTCATGGTCTTTGTCTTGTAACCGGCTGAAGTGTAAAGTACGGCTTGTCTTGAAATATTTTGTTATACCTTAATCATTGCTGTGTGCTTTTGCTTTGTTATATCAGGTGAGGTATTTGCTTTGTAACGTGTTCATTTTAATAATAGTGCAGATAGAGGGCACTAGTCAATTTAAATTGCATTTATTCGTATTTGAATAGGGAAATAATCTTTAAAAATTCGAGGCAGAACCATAAAAAAAACACGGATAGAAACGAATCGGTAATAAAATAAAAGTACCACGTTTTTAAGCGCCGCTCGTGTTTGGACCGCAAAGTTTTTAAATAGTGATCTGTAATACCTTGTTGCCACAATTTTTACAGTGATCTGCATTACCTACAGTACATTGTTTGGAATATATTTGATACTCTATGGTTTTATGGCGCGTTTTTTTAAATTAAGCCAAGGTACTTGAGGATCACCGTTTACAAAGCAAATGAGATTAATAGGTGTTTTCAGTTTAAACAGCTTAAGTAAAAAAATATGCCATAAAAAAGGAAGGAATATCCAATTTGATACAAGGAGCGTGTAAAAAATTTTTATCTAAAAATATTATAGCAAATTAAATACATACATTGATACAAATTAGGGTATATTTTTTTGTAATTTTAATAATTGCTTTATTGCAAGTACCTACTCCTAATAAATACAAGTATCTCACATAATTAGGTAACTGTGTTCCTTTTTTTTTTCATTAAATATTTTTTATGTGCTGCAACTTTAACTGGATCAATCAAATGTGCGGGAGGTTTCTTTGCTAAAAAACTAACAAACTTGGCATCTTTACCCTTAGCAACTTTGTTAAGACTCCTACACCACCAATATAAACAACATCGCACAATTAATGATACAAAGGCATCTCCTACATTATGTTCACTACAATTAAAAGGTGAAAAACTAAAATTTTTTCTAAGTAAAAATGACAACACAGAAGATATATCTTTGACATACGCTATTCTTGGTATCCAATAAAATAAACTATTTAAACAATTACTAACCATAACATTTAAATAACTACCACGAATAACTAATTTGCAATTTTGGTACTTCCTTGCCAAAATTATGTCATGATCAAAATTAGTGTCTGATATTTGTAAATTCCTTTGACATGTGTCACAGACCTTAAATTTTTTAATTAACAATCGGCCTACATAACCACTAATGTATGTAATTATTGATCTGTGTAGTTTGGTTTTTGTATGAAGGGATATGTGTTCTGGTACCTCAATTTTTTGATTATACAAATTTGGTGTATGTACCAGTGACTGGCTAGGAATACCAGTAATAAATGATTTGAGATTGTCTAACCCTCCGGAGTTTAAGTCTTCCTCACAGTTAGAGGAAGGTGAATGAGTAGCCAGAAAATTGTTGACTATCAATGATTTCATTGATGCCACAAAATGAGAAGCATTTGGATTAATATTTCGGTAATTATGACTTCTAATATAACCAAACAAATTTTCAATAGGGTCTTGATTAAAGCCCTAGTTGCCACAAATGCAAATTTCTTATTTTCTAATAATATTTTACATATATACATAAAAGCTCTTATAGCATGTGCTAAATTTTTTAAAGATGGATTATATACAAATTTCTGTCTCTTGTTACAAAAAAACTGCATCGATTCCACCACTTTAACTGCATTGGACCAAAATGCTGAATGGGGAGAGTTTATTGTGACACAGCTTCGATAAACTTTACCGGGATGTTGACGCAGAGCTTGATTGTTTAAGCTATCAAATAGCTGGTCTAAAAAGAGGATCAAATCCGCCTTATCCCTTACTTCAGACCCCAAATTGAACTCATCATTGGTGTCTGAAAAAGTTTAGATAGCTCAGTGTATAATGTACTAGTTAAAATGTTGTCTACAGACATGCATATCTATTATTTTCAGACAACTATTGCTACCCTGTATTACATGTAAAATATAATAATTTATTCATAATTACCCCATTTTGAAAGCCTCATCATTAGAGATCCTACTGTATAACTAAATACTTGTGTGCAATAGGAAACTTTCATTTTTTTAATTTTCTCTGGAACCACATGCTCATCTGTTAACTTGGAACATAATCTTAATGTTGGTTCGGAACTGTCCAAATTATGAAATTTCACGATGTGTTTCCAGCTTGCGATCCCTTTTTTGTTATTCATAACAAAGTGAAGATCTTTATTTAATAAGTTATTACGTATTCCTTTCAGTAAGTGAGGGACATCATAAAAAGGAACGATTTCTTGATTATTAACAAGAAATCCAAACAATCGATTTTCTTGTCCCTCCCTTAGGAAGTGCTCCCTGGTGTCCTTAATAAGGGAATTTATAGCTGCTTGATTTGATGCCCCTTGATCGCATACTGTTGCCACAACGTCTAGGCCTATTTCTAAGCAGTTCTTGATTACCTAAAGACCTATATATTAGTAACCTAAATAAGTAGCATAAAAATGACTAACCTCTGTAAGTTGATATTTAAGGTTTTCACTGGTCACAGGCCCAGACGAAAACGTAAAAGAAACTGGTTGTCGCCACTGGCGATGCAGTCCACGTAGCATAAAAAGATTGACATGATCTGCTAATTTAGAAGATCTCTTATGACCAAAATCTTCAATTCCCACAATAATATCATTGTGACGATTATAATATACATTTACATCAATCGACATTTCGTCAAACATCAAAATACAGATTTTGTCGTCTTTCTTCATACCTCTAATATTCTCCTGTAGAGACTTAAAAATAATTTCGTTAATTCCTGGTTGTAAAGGAATTTTTTGCAACAACTTGCTCAATGTCCTTGGATGAGGAAGTGCGAAAATTTTTGACAATAGTCTATATCCTGTAAAAACGTAACTAAAAATTTCGGCAGAATACCTAATAAAACTCTTACCCTTTCCACTGGCTTTGTACAGTGATAATGCCAAAATTTTGTCTTCAAGTGTATACCTTCTACACTTCAGAGCACGTTCTTGGTTCCGAATTTGTGACAAAATAAATTGGTGTGTGTAATTGTTTACTTGGCTCATTATCTTCTGAAATCCTTCAGAATTGCATAATTGTGCTTTTTGTAAACGAATTTTATAGGAGGTTATTTTCCTAGCCATCCTTGCCATCTTCACACTCCAGGTGGTCAACTTTTTGTAGAGCAGGTTGGCCCTTGGGTCAAGTTGAGAGGATCGAGTCACTCCGACATCTTTCAATAAAGATAATCTTCGTTTCTTTATCACTAAAGCGCAGTAATGTAAATATATTTAAACGATTCAATTGTTTGCATACCTCTCACAGAATTCACTTCCATTGGCTGTGTCCTTTTGTTCAAAGTATCTTCTGGGGCTTCCTGGTTGAATTGTTCCGATGAACCTGATATTTCTGCATTAAACAAATTAATTGCCTAAGTAGATAATTCGTGAAACATTGAAATGTTGCGCATACCTATCCCATATTCTGCTTCCATTTCCTGCTTACTCTTATGAGATTCATCTTCTGGGACTTGTAGATTAAATTGTTCAACATTTAACTGGCTGCAACTCAATATTTCATCTGCTTGTTTGGATGAACAGGGTATTTCTACATACAAATTACATTTAATTATGTAGGCAAATTGTTAAAATGTGATTTACCTAAAAAAATATAAAGTGGGAATGGCTGTATACTTTAGTCCTCTTCGAGATCCGGCAATGATGTTGTGGGCTTCAAAATGTCTTTCACACACTCTAAATGTATTATATATCTCGAAATCGGTATAATTAATGTAATTCCGCGGTCTAAGTATCATAAGCCACCTTTTGAAAAGTTCAGAATAATGTTTGGGGTTAGGAAAACGATGTCTTGGTAAAAATTGATCTTTACAATTATGTACACAACACTTTCTTTTAGGTGATAACGAAAAATCCATTTTGTGGTCGTTATTTGATCAACGAAGAATTATCACAAATCACACACGTGATTTGTGATTATTGTGATTATTATGTTAATAAACTCAAACAAAGCATAACTACAGTTATTTAATCCAAATATAAGTTGTAAAGCACTATAAACAATACACGGATAGTACGCACGTTGCCGAAACACATAACCTAAAAATTTCGTCACACACTCCAGAGCAATTTTAATTCTTGAAGTTGGTTAATTTCAACTTCAATGCGTGATTTTTATCCGTCGTGAGCATTTTTAGGTTATTTGTTTGTAAACATCGTGCAGATTTTTAAATAATGTCCTCACAATCGCAAATCGTGTACAAATGTGGTTATTGTGGATATTTAATAAATAGTTACTGTGATAACTACATGGATCATGAATGTTTTAAAGAAATAGTTGAATCCGCCAATGTAAAAGAAATCGACAAATGGAATTTGTGTGCTAATGATCAAAATGTTTTAACTTTGGGTAAGTCCGCATTAACATTTTGTTATTCAAAATAGTGTGTAATACAGATAAACACAGCTGCAATAAATTTATATATTTTTTAGAACCTACAAGTGTGGATAACGAAAACCAAATCCCGGTCGAAGAATTGCCAACGCCTGCAGTAAATCAAATCAATGACGAGTTATTAATTTCTTTGGTATATGCACGTAAACCGTTGTGGGATTTCAGAACTCCCGTGCAGGAAAGGCATGGTCTCAAACTAAAAAAGTTGTGGGAAGAAGTTGCAGTACTATTGGGAGGTAAACAGACAATTAATACATTTTGATGTAACTTCACATTGGTAAACAAAATCATTATGCTTATCTGTTGTAACAATATTATGAGAAATGTAATTTAAGATTTCTAATATAGTTGATGTTTAGGCCAGTTAATTGATGCAGTAAAAAAAAGGTGGAGGCAGCTGAGGGACGATTTCATGAGGGCCAGAAAAAAGCACAAAACATATGTTCCAAGTGGTTCTGGAGCAGATCATTTACCCCCACAGCCTACCTTTAAATACTATGAATTGATGAGATTCCTAGATGATACTGAAAATATGACGTATGTAAAGTGATAATAGCACTTAACACAATATTTTACATCTATATAGGGTAGTCATAGATATTGTCAGAATGTTTTGCTTTGTGTTTTAGAACTATTTCAAATGTAAGCTTGGGACCATCAACATCTAATAGTGGTGCTGAAATCATCCCATCCGGATCACCATCACCAAGCCTGTCCTCACACTCTGTCGGAAATAAAAAAAAGAGTTAGTAATATGCGTCAATTACTTTTTATGAGCAATCTCATAACAGATATTATTCATTATACCTATTTATACTAATACTAAAATTAAATTACGCTTTATAAGTAAGCACAGATGTGAAGTAAGTAATGCACAAACTTTTTTGCAGGAGTATCTGAAGCTCGATCTGAAGGATATGAAACTGAAATCCAGAAGGAAATATTAAAAGTAATGCAAGCTCCAGAAAGTAAACCAGATGGAGTGGATGGGTTTTTAGTTTTGCTTGGGGAAGGTCTTAGGAGATTACCATTAAGAAATAGAAATAAACTACAAATAAGATTCCTTCAATTATTGGAAGGGGAAGAAAGTATTTTGAATAATGAATAATAAAATATTTTATGTTGAATAAACATTTACATTATAATTTACTATATACACTTTATTCTGTACAAAATCCATGGCAATAGTATATTACCACAGTTACATCATTGTCTTAGTTATAGTTATATACTTATTATATATTTAGGTAGAAAGTAGTTAAAAGTCGTTACTTTCAACTTTTTCTAATTGCCAAGGAACCGCTCCCTCGCCCTCGAAATATTCAGCTAATCTATCCCTTAAATGTGCAACATTTCTACTGTAAACGTTACGACCAGATCGGCCTAGTTCAAGAAAGCCTGTATTTTGTTCTGACATACAATTTAATTCAGAATATGCATGTTCCGTGATTGGCAAGACAGTTTCCTTTTTCAATATAAAATTATGCAAACAAATTGTTGCTTGGATAATTTTTATTATAGTGGTTTCGGATGCAATTATGGGCTTTGCAAAAATCCTCCAGCGACCTCGTAGAATACCGAAAGCACACTCTACTACACGCCTGGCTCGGCTTAACCTGTAATTGAAAAATTTTTTTCTCCTATTTAAGTTACTGTTTCGAGGATAGGGCCGCATCATATAGTTTGTGAGAGCAAATGCCTCATCACCTACCACGACAAAGGGAAATGTCAAATTTCTACTGATAGGGCATTCTTTTGGGACATTAAGCAAATTGTTTTCAAGTCCCATTCCAATACTGCTCATTCTAAAAACACCACTATCACTTTTTCGACCTGGAGCTCCAATATCAACCAACGTAAAGCGCATATTGGCATCCACCATGGCCATCAGGATAATGCTGTGACTGTTCTTATAGTTATAATGAGAAGATCCACTATTGGGTGGAGCCTAAAACGAAGTGTTTGTTTAGTAATGCTATGTTTAGCTGTGGATGAGATTTATGTGTAAAAATTTTTGTAGACCAACCACAAAAAAGTAAGATGATATCCCTGTGTTTCACGTTGTTGCTCTAAATACTTACTTGAATTATTACATGTTTCCCATCTATTGCTCCAATACAATGGGGGAAATTCCACTTTAATTCAAAATCTTTGGAAATATTTTTCCAATCTTCCTCTGTTGGGTTTTCTAATAGCACCTTCTCGCGTAAAGAATTCCAAATTGCTTCACATGTTTCTGCTATAATCTCTGAAACTGTTTGTGGAGCCACTCTGAAGGCATATGACACTGATTTCATACTGTCTCCTGAAGCCAAATACCGTAGTGTTATAGCTAATCTTATTTTAGGTTCAATTGGTATTCGTACCACAACTTGTTTTTTAATTGTTGGTTGAAGCATATTTAAAAGCTCGGAAAACATAGCATCGTTCATTCGAAAGTAGTTAATAAACCGACTACTGTCTTTTTCTAACTCGCAGAACAATGAATTTCCGCACCCATACAAAAGTCTTTTTTCTTCAGTATATATCGATCGAGTCCACACTTTCCTAACTGCAAATGGTTTAGAACGTTTTTTGGCGAGTTTGGCTGCCAAATAAGCCATATAAATTTTTTTAATCTTCAGCTTGTAACTTTGTTTTTGAAATACGCATGTTTTTTGTTTGCACATGGCACCAATTAGTAAAAGATAGGTTTTTGATTTCATTCTTACTAAAATACACGTTTATCTAAAACTACAGTTACAACAACTACAACACTACCTATTCGAAATTCAAAACAAAACGAACCCATAGACGACAACGGTTGCGTAACACGGAGTTTCCATTCGGATGGCGGGAAATTATGCATCCGTATTTACGCGTGCGTAGGTACGTAAAATCACGTATCATGTGGATCCAGCCTGACTACTATACTTTAGAGGTGAGAGGGCGGGGTGGGGCGGTGGGGTATCGGTACGGCAAGTACGATGCGTTCATGGTTCATTACTTGTGTGGCTTTCCAAGCGCAAAAACACGTGCGATTTCATTTTTATGCTAAATTAACCAATTGAAGTGAAAAAACGAAGATTAGTTTAATTGGTCTTCTTCCTCTGGTTAACAATTAAGTAAGTACTAACGTTACGATAGTAATAGAAGCAATTATCAAATATTTTTCATAAATTTGTAGATTAATATGGGCCCAAAACTAAAAAGAATGTGCAAATTTTCCGACGATATAGGAAAAGAATACCCATTCATAAAAAAATCAAAATTGGATTCCGAAGTATATTGTGAAAAATGTAAGAGTGTGTTTTCTATCGAGTATGGAGGTAAACGTGACATAACAAGGCATTTAGGGTCGGAGAAACACAAAAACGTTTTGCTTTCCCTTGCTTCTTCAAGCCAAGTCACCAATTATTTCAGAAGGGAGGAGTTCGGTTCAAGTGAAAAAAAAATAGCATTATCTGAGGCAGTATTTTCATTCCATACAGTGGTTCATAATCAGACGTTTAGATCGATGGATTGTACGACCAAGATAATCCAACATTTGTTCGAAAAAAAATTTGCTTGTCGAAGAACTAAAACCGAAGCAATAATAAAGAAAGTCATTGCACCTTTTGCTGCTTCTGAGCTCACAAATGATTTAGAGTCTTTAGATTATGTATCCATTTTTTCAGATGCTTCAAATCATAAAGATTAAAGCTTTTCCCGACACTAGTTCGTTATTTTAAGAAGGATACGGGCGTTGTTGTAAAACTTTTGGATTTTGTTTCACTTCCTGGGGAAACATCAGAAATGATTTCAAACTTAATTATAAACATTTTAACGACCCACAACTTAACAAATAAATTAGTAGCTTATTGTGCAGACAATGCAAATACAAATTTCGGTGGAATTTCGAGAAAGGGGGAAAATAATGTTTTTAATAGGGTAAAAAAACACTTAAATCGAAATTTATTTGGTGTAGGATGCACAGCTCATATAATTAAAATTATCAACAATCATTTTAATTAATGTAACATTTTAATTCAACAATCACTTTAAATAATTCTTGCCGATTTTAAGAGCATGAATTCATATGATTGTTGAATTAAAATGTTCTCTGAAAATATTTGTACAATTTTATTCCAAAATTTTACAATGTGACAGTCAGTCGTATGCCTCTACTTTTTACGTTTGTTGTTATTGTCTTACGTATTAAATATGATTGTTTAAAAAATGTTACTTAATAAAAATGTGAAATGAATTATATTGTTATATTGAATGAGTGTATATGAAACTGTATTTCAACAAACAGTTAATAACAAACAACTGAATTGAATTGCAAGAAATACTTACTTCGATTAATAAAACGATTTTGTCCAACAAACATAAAAATTCATTCATTTTAAATGTGGAATTAAAATTATCAACAAACATTTTAATTCATCAGTCATATAAATTCGACGATTTGAAAATTGAAGCCGAATATTTTCAACAATCACTTTAATTCAACAAACAAATAAATTTTTATTGTTAGACGTAGTAAAAGAATCTTTTAAAATTATTGTTGAATTAATATGATTGTTGAATTAAAATGTTACATGAATTAAAATGTTTGTTGATAATTTTAATTAGGCGCTAGTATACACGTTCCCAAATACACTAAAGGATAGTTCCTGAAACTTCCGCACAATCACAGATACGAATTAAAATTATCAACAAACATTTTAATTCAACAATCATTTTAAATAATGCTCTCCGATTTTAACATCACGAATTAATATGATTGTTGGGAATATTTGTACAACACTTCAATAATTGAATTAATATGATTGTTGAATTAAAATATTTGTTCATAATTTTAATCCCACATTTAATATGAATAAATTTTTATGTTTGATGAATTAGTTCTAGTTAGTTATATTACTGTTCGTTTATGTATTCGTTTGTTGATTTGTATTGTTAAACTTTCGTTATACACATTGCTATATAATTCATACATCATTTCAATTAAATGAAGTTTTTTAAACAAACATATTTAATGTTTCACATAAAAACAACAAACATAATAAATCAGGAAATAAAATTAACTGTTGTTTATAATGTTACATTGTAAACTTTCGTAATAAAAAGTAAAACGGCGTTCCATACGTCTTCAAGGTGATGCGACAATAACTCGTTTTTTTTGTTTTCCTCTAATGAAAGGAAATTCTTCCATATGTGAGGTAATGGAACATCGCGGATATCTATCACATAACGCACAGGAACCAAAATGCCTGCCAAAACAGAAATAATTTAATAATTACACGATGTGAACAAATTTAAACAGTAGCCATACAGTAAGTACTATGAAAAAAGGTTTCCACTTTTACGCACTTTGACGTTAGAAAAACTATGGAATCATTGTTTAAACATTTGTTCACTATTATTATCGTGCCGTACCTCCGTCAGGAATAACATTATAATCCGTTTTTAGCTCGAAAAAATCGGTCGCATGAGTGAAAATATCAACATTTTCGGAAATTGCCCGCCATCTTGAATTATGAACTTCCTGTTCAGATTTCGAGATGCCAACATCGATATTCGTGTTCAGCAGGTCTAAATTAGTAAAAAACGCCTATTTGGCCAAATGTTGTCTGAAATGCCCCTAGAACCTGTTAAAACGCTGCTTTTTATAAAAGTGAACCAGTCTATTCATCATGGCTTAAAACGGGAGTACGAGAGAAATCCATAAGTTGCGTTGACATTACAACTGCTTCCAGCCTTGGCATTCGTTCCACCTCAAAATGTAATTCCCGTTTTTGAAGACATTTTCCAGCAAAACATTTTTTCTCCTGAACTGCAAGTTATTGTTGATTATTTCGAAGACACGTGGATCGGTCACCTAGTTTCGATGCCGTACATGTACAACATGGACTTCCAAAAACAAACAACTCAGTGGAGGGATGGCATCGAGTTTGCCAAATGCAACTGTGTGCAGATCACCCAAACATCTGGAAATTTATTTCGGCATTAAAGAGGGAGCAGAGTATAAACGAATTACGAATAGATCAACATATCAGCGGGCAACCACCTACCATCAGTCGTAAGGTGATTGTGCACAAAGACTTTAACACTAGTAAATAGTTATGCACCTGACATAAATATATATGATGATTTCAATTTCCCCCTTTCACGTTTCCCTGAAGTTGCTCAACCTGATCTTATTTGCTAATGTCACTGTTATGGCGCTGAGTTCGGCCTTCGTACATTGTCATGACGAATTTTGTATAAATTAAAATTGTTTAAAGAGACCCACAGAATACGGCCTTCTCAGAATAGAAACAGAAATGTTACAAATTTGTATGATATTTTGGCGGCCACTGATGGGTGTGCTGTGAACTAAAGCGTCTAAATCAGAGTAGCGCCATCTGGTGACCAGCTTCTAAAGCCATGAAGTAATTTCCCCAATTCGATCTAAATCATAAATATCGATAAAGATACAGAACGATTTGTCGTACGAAATATTTGGTTTTAATTGCTGTTTGGACTAAATATTTTTGTTAAAAAATATCTTGAGAACTAAATTTTTTGTTCCAAGAGGTAATAAAACCATTTCAGCAAATTGTCACACAAGTTTCAACAAATCGTCGCATTGGAATAACAAAGTTCTAACTGCAAATTTGGGGAAAAATAAAATTTTTATGCAATATGGTTCTATCTGCTGAAATGTACGCATTTTGACTAACCTTAGCGACATCAACCAAATAATAACCGAGTTAGTTAAGTTACAAAAGTTCTATCTGCATTGCAGAAATTTGCTTGTTTGGTGTAGTAAAGGTGTATCTGCAATCCTTTGTGTAATATGGTTCTATCTTGATGTAGATAGAACTTTGTTTTTTCTAACTGCACAGATATAACTTTGTTAACATCATTATCTTGACAACAGCTGTTATGGAGAGAGGGATTTGAGTTGTAACGGTTTTTTGCGAACCAAGTTATTATTGCTATAAATTGTCGTGTGCTTTTGTTGTGAAAAGAGAGAAGTGTGTGTAGACTTGCATATTTCTGTTTTGTTAATATGGAAGGTATACACCCACGTACGTTAAGAATTATTAGTATGGGTAAGTATATAAAAATTATAATATAAACTAGTTTATTTATTGTAGCTAAGCAGGAAGTACTGGTTAGTTGTGATGGAACCGAGTATGATAAGCAAGACGTTACTAAGAATGGGTAGGCACAAAAACAATGTCATAGATGAATAATTTGATTTCTCTTTAGAATAGAAGCTTCGAATCATACTCCTCCTGATTTAGATGAACATATAAACAGTGTCCCTATGCAATCTTGTGATTACAATGATGATGGCATCGTCCTAATACAAATTAATGCAGAGTAAGTGTACTTGAAAATTTTTGGAGCACACGAAGATTAAAGTAAAATGACTTACAGGGACATACCAGCTATGAAGGAAGATGCAGCTATTCAAGTGATAGAAGACGTTGAAATAGTTGATCCCAATGGGCATATCATTACAAATATTAATGAACTTTCAAATTCTAACGTTCGTGAAATCGTACCATTGGAAGAAGGCACACATACTTTGCAATCAGAAAGCTTTGCTGACGTGCAAAAATTAGGTCCTGATGAAAATGGAGATGCTACACCTACAGCATCGCAAAAAACTAGAAAGCGAAAATGAAACGTAAATGAATGGAAAGTTAATGTTCGTAAGAGAAAGTGTCAGGCAGGAGAAGAATACGTCAATGTTAGGGGCAAAACCGTTACGCGACGAAAGCTAACAAACAAAAAAAATTGTTTAGAAAATTGCAAATTTAACTGTGCAAAAAAGATTTCATTAGAAGAAAGGGAACAACTTTTTCAAACTTACTGGTCTTTAACGCAAAATGAGAAGTATGTGTTTATAAAAGCCACCACCCAAAAAGTACTGAAAGGACGAAGAACTACTGAATTATCTAGGAGAAAGTACACGTTTGTTTATAATTTAAAGGTTAAAGAAGAGATCATTAGGGTGTGCAAACAATTTTTTTTAGGAACTCTTAGCATCTCACAAAAACCTATCTACACATCCCACCTTAATGTCAATGAAGTAAAGAAAGATCAAAGAGGAAAGCAAAAAAAGACTTCACAGAATTTTAAACAAAATAAAGAAGATGTTATGGAACATATTAAAAGATTTCCTGTGATAGAATCTCACTATTGCAGGCGAACTACAAAAAGGAAATATTTAGAGCCTAATTTGAGCGTCGCCAAAATGTACAATCTATATGTTAAAGATTGTGAAGAAAAAAACACAATTCCGGTTAAGTTATCTTATTATAGGCACATTTTTACACATAATTTCAATTACGGGTTCCATGTACCCAAGAAGGATAGGTGCCTAAAATGCGAGTCCTATAAGATAAAGAAAGAAGACAAAACTTTATCACAGGAAGAGGAAGACGAATATAATACCCACAATGAATTGAAAGCCCGGATGAGACTTGAAAGAAACACTGATAGAGATAGTAAAATTCCTACACTCAGTTTCGACTTGGAAAATGTTATCACATGTCCCCGTTCGGAAGTTGGCGATTTTTTTTACTCCCAAAAATTGAATATCTACAATTTAACAGGACATTTTTCGACCACTGGGCAAGCTTATTGCGCCATTTGGTCAGAGTCGAGGCAAGGTCGCGGTGGGAACATTATTGCCAGTGCGTTCAGGAGAATTTTGGACCAAGTCTTAACTGACAATAATGTCTCCGAATTGATTACCTGGAGCGACTCTTGTGTTCCCCAAAATAGAAATTCTTTTATTTCATTGGCCGTGATGAATGCCATTAGGGAGCATCCAGAACTAGGAGGTATCACAATGAAATATTCCATACCAGGACACGGTGCTATCCAAGAAGTAGACAACATTTATAGTAATATTGAGAGATTTATGGCGAAAACTGAATTTTATTCCCCTCTTTCTTTCATGAGAAATCTGAAGTCTGTAAACAATAGAAAACCTTACAAGATATTACAAATGCGAGACGAAGATTTTAAAGATTTTGAAAAAAATGCAAAAAGGTTATCTTTTAATAAAATTCCGTTTTCGAAAGTAGCCGCTCTTCAGTTTACACAAAATTTATTTGAAGTTGGCTACAAATTAAAACATGGCGATGATTTTGTGATGCAAACTTTAAAAAATGATCGGGCTTTGGGCATTCCTTCACGCCGCAATAAAGAAACCACAAGCGTTTTAGATTTAAAACCAAAAACGTTAATACCCAAAAATTCATTACCGGAGGAGAAAATAAAGGCCATTAAAAAGATGATAGACAGCTGTATGCCGGACATAGACAAAAAGTATTTTTCAGCACTATTAAATACACTGAAATAAATATTTTGGGTTTTTCAAGCTTTTTTGTTTGTTTTTTTTTTAGAAAATTTGTCATTATTTTCCAGTATTTTATGAAAATGTATTGTCTTTATTTTGTAATAATCTTAAGTTCATATTCTCTTTTGTGCAATAAAAATATGTTAACAGAAATAATTTCGCGTTTTTTCATATAAATATTTAAACATCAATGCAGTTACGTAGAGTAGATAAATGAGTTTTATTAAACAGTGAATATATAATAACACAGGTGTATGTGACACATAAAACTTTGTTTAATTTAACAGCGTTGCTTTGCAAAAGTACACTGCGTAACAAAGATGTATGTGCCACATAGAACCTTATTCGACACAATCAAACTAATTAAATTCTAGAACAAGGTTCTATCTGTATTTTGATACCTAGAAAAAAGAATTAAGATTTTATATTATCTCTACTAATTTTATTGAAAATATTTTATTTTTATATTTTCTAATAAGTGGCAAAATTTAAAAGTGTAAAATCTAAAAATAAGTTAAATAGCGGAATTCAAAACTTTGCATCGCTATTTCTCAAAATGAAGTTTGGCACAGTTAGTACTTTGTTATTCCAATGCGACGAAATATTAACTTGATCCTGGTGCTTACTTGTTACTTGAGAAGCGAGGGTGGAAGCACAAAACAATCTGTTTCAAAATATGGGAAACGATGCCTTTTTGATATTTTATCGTTAAAATACGCCACACAACACTTTACGGTCACATAACTTCTTCATATTTTAAATCTTTCAAAAGTCAAAATTGATATGTGTAAAACCATGTGTCCCTATAAAATCGACGGTAAAAATATTTCCTGTAACGGGCAAAATTACAGGTTTTGCAAAAAAATATTTGAGTCTGCGTACAACCACGGGAAACGCTGTAATCAGTGACAATTTAGCGCCATTTATGTTTCTGTTCCGTGAAGAGACCTTCGGGTCAATTCTGCCGTTTGTAACGCAGTTGTCCTTACTGATGTTTTAATTCTTATGTTAATTTTTCCCGTAAGTATTTAAAAAATTAAGATTACAGTCTTAACCTATAAAATTTCAGCATGCACCTAGTTCTAAGGTTATATTTGTTCAATATGTAACTACTCGTTCTACCCTTCAGGGACCCATAGTATGTTGGTCCTTAATTTTAAAGGTATTATTTTATCTCATTGATTGTTAAACAAAACTTATAGCCAGAAGATGACGGTAACGTCGAAACTAGTCGCAACTATTTATTCCACAATTTAATCAAATAAATTTAGACGCATGGGGAAGGTTTTGAGTTATTAATTCTCCCTAATTTCTTCGATGTCCACCCCATTTTGAGTTCAAGAAAACATGGATACCCTCAATTCATCAAACGAAAAGATAAGACTCTCATAAATGAGAAAATAGGGGATCGTTACCATCGCAAAGAAGTTTTAGAAGAGCACATTTCAATTTTAACAGAACCTGGATCAATTTATTTGGGACACACAACGCCAAGTCGTGGCACTGCTAAGGGAATTTTTACTTCGAACACAACTTTATTAGATAGGGCCATGGTTGGAACTTAGATGACGTTATTTGTCTTGGATGTGACGGAACTGCAACTAACACTGGCTGGTAGGGTGGCGTGATTCAGTATTTAGAGGAGTATTTGAAGAGACCGTTACAATGGTGTATTTTGTATGCTTCACGCCAATGAATTACCCCTTCGCGATTGATTCTTGACTTTAGATGGCTGCTCTTCGGGTCCTAGAGAATGTTCCGGACCGATAGGAAAAGAATTAGCTGGTTGCGAGCATAAACCCGTGGTTTCTTTTTGTGCGGTGGCTTGTAATTTACCTGACTTACCGAAAAATGTGATCGATAAGTACGAATAAAAAATATCTGTATCAGATATGTCAAGCTGTATCAACTGGTTCCTGTACTCCTGAGCTGGCAAACCATCAATCTGGAAAAATGGCGCATTCGAAATGGGTTACTTCAGCTAATCGTATACTCAGACTTTACGTAAGTACACTTAACCCATCACAAAATTTGCAATTGCTGGTTAAATATGTGGTTAAAGTATACGCTCCGATTTGGTTCCTAATCAAGCAGAAGACGTCTTTTAAGGACGGAGTCAAAACATATTTACCAGATGATTATGTACTCTCGTTTCGATTTCTGTTATTTTCAATGCGATTTGACGATATTGGCATACGAGAAGAAAGGCGAAAATGTGATAAACTGGCACCAATACGACAAATCTGAAATATTTGTCGAGAATTGCAAAAAAAATGTACATACCCGAGCGCTACCCTACTATTGACGAACAACTAGGTGCATTTCGAGGGAGATGCCCTTTCAGGCAATACATTCCTTCGAAACCGGCTAAATACGGGATGAAAATATTTGCCTTGGGGGATGTTGATAGTATGTATACGGTAAATTTGGAAATATATCCCGGTATGCAGCCGGAAGGACCGTATAGGCTATCCAATATACCGATAGATGTCGTGAAGCGTGTGGTAGAAGTAGTGAAAGGAACATGGCGAAACATTACAATGGATAATTGGTTCACTACCTATCCTTTGGCAATGGAATTGTGGAAAGAATACAAGCTTACTGTGCTTGGGACCCTGAGAAAAAAACAAGAAGGAAATTCCTAGAGAGTTTTCCAATAATTCGAAACAAAATGTGTGGAGGATATAATGTAGCAAGGAACAGCAGACGTTGGCCCCTTACAATTTTCTTCAATGCCATGAACATTAGTGGCATAAACGCTCTAGTGTTATATATAAAAAATAATGCAAATAAAGAAATCGGCAGATGAACATTTTTGCACGGCCTTCCCTTGGATTTGAAACCTCAAGTTCAAAAAAGAATGTACCGTAAGATCATACCTAGAAAACTCAAGGAAAAGTGTCGTGTATTACTACTGGATGACAGTGAAATACAAAATGAAAATGAGCCTCCAAAAAAAATTGCAAGGAGCAGTAATGGTAGATGTTTTCTTTGTCCAAGGAAGAAGGACAAGAGAATACGAAAATTTTGTAAATCCTGTGACAGGTGGGTCTGTGGTGAATACACAAAAGAAGTGTCAGTTAGTTTTGTTAGTTGCGCGGAGCAAAATGATACGAGTGGAATGATTTCTGACTAGTTCGCAGTTTTCAATGGAATACGTTTTTTTATTTACGTTTTTAATAGGATATATTGTTTTTGTTGACTTTTTTACCGATTAAATGAAACAGTGCGTAATCATTTTCTCGTTTGTTTCAGTCCATATTAACTTGGGATACGCGACTAAACATGTGATATATCTTAACGCGAGTACTGGAGTGTTAAGGCTGGTGTCTTCGTTGACCAAGAAAAACAAAGAAGTGGTGGCAATAGCGCACGACAGCAAAGAGTACGACAGTATTTTCATTTTGAAAGAGATGATGAAGACTCCCTCTGCTTGGAACCCTGAGATAATTGCTACAGGCACAAAAATTACCTGCTTGCCTGCAATAACAACATCAGATTCATCGACAGTCTCAATTTTATACCCATCCCGTTAAGTGCTTTCCCAAAAACTTTCAATTTCCCCGGTTCCAAGGGTTACTTTCCCCACTTCTTCAATACTCTTGCTAATCAAGATTATGTCGGACCGCTGCCCGTACACCATTTCTACGGATGTGACGAGATGTCGGTGAAGAATCGTGAAGATTTTCTTGAGTGGTACAACGCCGAAGTGGCTCGTAGAGCCGTTTTCGATTTCTAATCGGAAATTGTGCAGTATTGCGTCCAAGATGTCAATATCTTAGACAGGCATGCGTACCATTGCCGCCGCCGCATGCAGCCTTGTGTTCCGAAGAAACTTTCTCCAGAAAGAGATCATAGGGCTCATCCCTCACGGCGGTTACCGAGCAGCCGATAACCAGAGTAGAGTAGCCATTAAATGGTTACTGCTGTTGCAAAGCCGTGAAATCCCCGATCTTCAACATGCTGGCAACACCCGGGAAGTTCAGACGACCGCATTGAAGGGAGACAAAGCGGACACGATGGGGGTGCGCCGTGAGAAAACTGAGGCCTTTTATCTGTTTCTTGTAACAATGATTACGTGGAAAGAATTTTCAGCGTTATGAATCGGCTATGGAGTGCCGACAGAAATAGATTGACAGTTGAAATGGTGAAGGCAGAACTTTGCGTTCGTTCTAACATCCAGCTCTCTTGTTCCGAATTTTATTCATCTTTAAATAACAAACCAAACCTTATTAAATCGGCAAAATCAAACAACAAATATCATTTTAAATTGTAAACAAGTATATTTGTTTTTTTCATTAAAGTTTTTTTAAAATTTGAATTGGCTTTTTTTTAATTAATATAGTTTGAGCGTGGTTTCTGAAACTATCAGCCTGCAGGCATCACGACTCACGAGGTACATTTTAAAACTTATTTACGATGGCCGGTTTTCTCCCATCAAAAAGGTGGTAACCCTAGCCTCGGGATACAATCTCATCGAAATGTGGGAGTGCGACTTCAAGACGTACCTCGTTAATAATCCTGATATAGTCGAATTTTTGGAAAATCACGTGGTAAAAAATGAGCCCCGAAACGGCTTCTTTGGCGGACGTACGAATGCCATCAAATTGTACCACAAGACCGAGGACGATGAAGATATAAGATACTTGAATGTATGTTCCCTGTACCCCTACGTCAACAAGTACGCGAAATACCCTGTAGGCCACCCTCGTGTACTTCTAACTCCCGAAGAACTTCGTTGTGTCAACCTTAATTCCGTGGAAGGCATGATCAAGTGCACGGTACTTCCGCCCCAAGACCTCTACCACCCCGTGCTTCCATACCGTTGTCACGGAAAGCTCATGTTCCCTCTGTGCCGTAGATGCTGCGAAACAATGCATCAGGATGAATGTGAGCACACTGAAGAGTTCAGTGGCACGTACGTGGCCGATAAAATGCGTAAAGCCATTTCCTTGGGGTACGTAGTGGACGACATACAAGAAGTATGGGAGTATCACACAACGATAAGGGTACGAAGAGCGGAGGATTATTCAGCGGTTACATTGATAATTTTCTGAAGACAAAGCACGAGTGCTGCAGTGGCTGGCCTGCATGGTGTGTTGACGAGGAGGCATGTACGCAGTACTTGACTGAGTACCTGGAGCACGAGGGAATTCAACTTGACCGGACAAAGATCGCAGTAAACGCCGGGCTATTCCTAAATTCCTTTTTGAGAAAGTTTGGCCAACGCGACAATCTGACGGAAACGGCCATAGTATCAGAAGCTGAGCAGTTTTTCCAGATGCTCACGGATCCGTCCATGGAAGTCAACTCAATCATTACCGTGAACGACGAAACCCTAATCGTCAAATGGACCCTCTCCGAAGAAGCCGTCGAACCCCTGAAGACCACCAATGTGGTATTGGCAGCCTATACAACCGCACATGGCCGTCTAAAACGGTACTGTATCTCGAGCAGCTGGGTGAACGAATCTTGTATTTTGACACTGATTCGGTCATCTTTACACAGAAGCCCGGGGAATGGTCACCACCTTGCGGTAACCTCTTGGGAAATATGACGGACGAGTTGGAGTGTTATGGGTCCGACAGTAGAATCGTGGAGTTTGTGAGTGGTGGACCCAAAAACTATGCCTATAAAGTGTTTTCCCCCCGTGACAATAAACATAGTGTACTGTGGAAAGTTAAGGGCATCTCCCTAAACTATAAGAACAGTGAGGTGGTTAATTTCGAAACAATCAAGGACTCGGTGTTGAACAATACCCCAGAGACTTTTGTGAAAACGGACCGTCGAATAGCTCGCACGTGTACATATGAAGTCATTTTCAAACCGGAGAGGAAGAAGTACCGTGTTCAGTACACGAAACGACACCGCTTAGATGTAGACTACGCTACTTTGCCGTACGGCTATAGAACCTAATTTAATTTTCTTATAGGGGACAAGGCCGCCTATTGCCGTTTACGCTCGTTAATTTATAAATTGACTACCGACCGTCCTATGCGAAAGTGTCATGGCTGTGGTAAATGATCCAGTATTATTACTATGTGAGGTGAACGACTCCACGGAAGTTAACGAAGTGATGTGGCTAATGTATAGCAATCTCGTGCACAATGCCCTTCATCAGTGTGACGATGTGTTGGTGAAGTGAACTGAGCTCGTCGGACCAGAACTCATTCATGTACTTAGTCAATACCACGAACTTTTTTAAAAATAAGGTATCTTGTTTTATGTACAGGGTGGCCAACTAAGAATGCGAGGTACTGTATCTGAGAATCTATCCATCGCAGAGCTTTGCGGTAAAAAAATTATTACTAAAACGGCCACGAGCAAAACCTTGAAAATATTATTAAGTTTCTGAAATGACCGCTAGGGGGCGTAACTGCAATCTGGAATCTAAAAAAGTGATGTTTTTGTGAATTTAGATCAGTGCCTTGTGATTCTAACTTTAAGCTTACGGTTCCCTTTCAAGAAATTGACTTAAATAAACTACAAGTATCCTTTGTTCGTAGATAAGTGTTAATGTTATGAATTGTATTTAAATATCCAATACATACGTTTTATGAGGAAAATTGTAAATCATGTCATTGTAAATATTAGAATTATACAACACAATTTGAATAATATGGAAACAAAAGGTTTGTAACTATTAAAGCAATGGAGAGGGCAACCATTTGGCACCACCTTCTACACAGCTTACGAGCCGCCACTGCTTTTGTGCACGTTCCCACCTTATGCGTTGCGCAACAGTTATGTAAAAAGTGCATTAATGGACAAACTGACATTAATATCCCTTGTGACAATTGTGGCCCTCGTGAACATATATTTAAAGAAGATCCCGTGATTGAACTTTTAAATTTCGTGTTCTCGTTAGCCAGGAAAAATCGTGACGTCGTGGCTATCGCCCACAAAAGCAAAGGATACGGCAGTATTTTCATTTTAAAAGAAATGATGATTCCATGGAATAGGCTTCCTGGGGAAACCACGATAAAAAAACTCAACCTCCGGGGTGGTGTGGACACGGGTTTGTATTGTATATTTTAAATTGTAATTTTCGATTGTGCTTGTAATTTATTTTTGTATGTTGCACATTTGATAATAAATATAATTAAAACTTGTTTTGCTCATTTCTAGCTTCTATTTCAGAATAGTGAGGTGAGAAAAGATAAACGCTGTGAGAGAGGGAGATAGTGAGGTGAATAACGTCACACAACAGTTTTAATTAAACGTCCTGAATCCTCAAAATAGCACCAATTTTCAATTACTTAACCAAATCATAGTTCAAATTCCGATAAATTACACAAATTTCCTAGAAATAACCAAATTAATCCCCAAAAACACCCACCCCGCGAAACAATTTAATTGACCTTGATTGACCCCGCGAATCAAATCCAAGATGACGGCAAAGTGCCTTGGTTCTACTGCTGATTCACTTTTTCGGAAATATATGCGCTATATCCGTCCGAGCTTTATGCAAACATAGACAACAGTTCAATAATAAATAAAATTGCTGCCCATTGATCAGTTAGTTTTGTTCTACGCGAAGGTACAACATGATCAAAGAAACATGTCTTTAAAAAAATCAGCACTGGTACATAGTGTTGTGCAACATGTGGTAGTGAGTAGAACATCGCAAACGTTTTATACCAAAACGCCGCTCTTTTTTGAACCGAGACGCCTTTAGTCGCGAAAAAAAATATGCGAGTGATCCCAAGACGAACGCAGCGAATCCCAATAAATTACGAGCCGCAAGTGTCGAGGTAATTCCAAAACAAACTGCGCTACTACCTTCACTTGGATGGCCAGTACAGTGTAATTACAATAACCTCAGATGACGAATCAAGGCAGGATCATCTCAGGTAGACATTCTTATCCGTACTACGGGCGGGACGTAGGCGGAGATAATTCAGATAACTGAAGAATGGTTGGTTTGTTGCAAAGCTAAGGATGATAGGAAAGAGAAAAAAATACAAACAGGTTGGTATAATACAAGTATATTATTTAGGTGGCGATAAGTTAGATTATTATACTAATGCATTTATTTTTGTTTCAGCAACAGCTGTCGACATGCAACCGGAAGTTTTTATAGGGGTGGGGGGTTGAAACAAAGAGCAACTTCAGCTGGTGCATGACACCGTCGTCGCGTGGTACAGCTACTATAGTGACGTCGCTCGGAAGATCGTTTGGCACGACTACAACCAGATTGGGGGACATACGGATGTGGTGGAGATTGACGAGACACATCTCTTCAAGAGGAAGTAGGACTTCGGTCGGCAGATGATGTACAGGTACATCTGGTTGTTCGGTGGAGTAAGCCGAACAACGAACCAAAGCTGTCTTGGTTGATTATGGTGACCAGGACACATTGTTTGCATTTATGCAACAATATATACGCAGCGAATTAAAATATAATCTTGGGGTACGAAAAGTGCGTTTTGGTTTCACAATTTTGCTTCAGAGAAACACAGTAAGTTTTTACAATTGCTTTATGTATAGCAGCGTATCCAACCAACAGTGTTTGTTGGAATAACGTCATTACGGTTGCAAGGGATATAGTACAGCTAAAAAGTTGACGATTTTACAGTTTCTTAAAAAATTTACTAAAATTACGTATTAAAAATTACATTCCGTGCACACCAATTTGCGGTTATTTTTATATCATTCTTGGAAGCTATTTCGTATACGGGACATTAGGTTCTAGTTATAGTACATCTTGTACAGGAACCGCCTTTAGTATGTATACTTACTACCGTTGACAGAGGCACAGCTGGAATGAGATTCGAACTGCAGACACCTCCAACTTACAAATGTGTTCATTTCTCGTCCGAGTGTTTGCTGCATTGGACCACGCGCCTGTTGTTAAAAGTTTTGTTAACTCTGTGTTTTCTTGTCAAGTATAAGTATGGAATAGTAGATTACATACCGAGCTGGGAGGTGGTTCATTACCTACCCCGAGGGCTTAAGGTACCTCACCGACGCGCGGAGGTGAGGTATAAGCGCGAGGCGTTGGTTATGAACCACTGACCAGCGAGGTTTGTATACTATTTTACTCACAATCGATCATTTAAGGTAAAGTATATAATTCAACAAGGTGTTACTTTAACTGTCAGTAATAGTGACACCGCCAATGTAACCATTAATGTTTACAACAATAGCAAATAGTTTCGTTCTTCTTGGTAATTTGCTATTGTTGTAAACATTAATGGTTACATTGGCGGTGTCACTATTAGTATAAGTTTCATATAAGGATAATATGAATAGCATTTGCAGGTAAGGAAAGTGACAGCTAGCCGGGAAAGTTACTTTCCCGGCTAAGGTGAGTAATGAGTCGCTTCGCAACCGCTATGAAGGTTAGGAATTCAGATAATACTAACCGATTGTGAGTAAAATATTTTTGTGCTTTGAAATTGTGAGAAAATTTTAATTAACGTTACAGAAAACCCATTTTTTCTAAACATTTATTAGCGTACTTCGATATTTCTGTTTTTGAGGTTATGATCATCCTAGTTTGTAGTCCACAAATTATTCACAATTTTAGTATGGTGTATAAAGTTGTGCAAACGAACGAAGATAATGAAGAGCTGCTGACAGTGGTACCGGGAACATGGGTAAAAGGGGGATATCTTTACTGGCCACCAGGAAAACATGCATATCGTTTACGAAACAATGAAAACGTATTTAGTTTATTTATTTTTCACTTTACTGTAATTCAATGGTAACTCCTTGGATACGGGATACGTAAACAAGTCCATAACAACCAGGGCGTAATGAATTCATTACGCCCTCAAAATAGGTTAATTATATTTGTTCAATTTTTTTTTATTAAGTCAAACTAAATACTTGTAATACAAAAGAAAGCACAATTACCCGCCAATATGAAAATTACAATTTTCAAACTTTCCCGAAAATGTAATATTTTTGTTAGAAAGGCCAGGGACGTTTATATTTTTATCTGATATGGATGACGACAGTTCCAAGTGATCATCTGAATATTATGTAAGGTTAACATTATTCGAGGTTTCGCTTCCAGATGAACCCACCGCGCTTGCAATAATGCTAGATATCCGATTTTTGGAAATTAGGCTATCTTCTACGTAACTCTGCGCAACCGTGTTACTCTTCCACTTGCCGTGCATTTTCAGGGTTTCAAAACTTGCTCCTGCTTCAAGCAAAAGAGTGGCTGACGTTCGTCTCAAGCAGTGACCGGTAAATTGATGAGGGTTATCTAACTTTAAGTATTTGGTAATTATATTTGGGACACTTCCTATGGTGTTTTTCCCGACAGGTTGCACTGTGCAACAACCTTTCCTATATGTGAGGAAAAATCGGCGTTCTTTCGAATGCTTTGGTCTTAGTGCTAGGTATTGTCGAACTAACTTAAGAGCATCTATTTCTTCTTCCTCCACGATTGTAAAACCTTTAGACGTACCTGTTTTAGTCTCTGGCACGTTTACAATTACAACAGATCCTTTATCGGTGATATCGTCAATACACATTTTGACCATTTCATCCCTTCGTAATCCACCAAAAACACCCATCACCAAAACTACTTTATGCAAAAGATAAATATCGTTAGGGGCACGTTTGATAAACTCAAAAACTTGATCTCCTGTTAAAACCTGTGATTTTTTTGGTTTATATCCCTTCGATTTGACTTTTAAAAAGTAAATTAGTTGATTATAATTTGAAATGTCAGTTTTCTTTTTAACTATGAAAGTTGATTTCAAAAGAGAGTATTTGGTCCATAGCGACGTAGGAGTGTATTTCTCAGACTAAAACAAAATGTATTATCAATAATTTTGCATATTTAGGTAGGTATATGTAAAACTTACCAGTTCCTGAAAGTACGACAATACAATAAACAAAGATAATTACTAACCTAAATGTAATGCTATTTGGTATGGTTGGAAAGCATTTTTTCA